GAAGGGCCTTTACCATGGGAAGCCCACTTCCACCATTTGTCTCTAGAGGCACCTACTGCATTGAAAGGATTTTCCACCTCTCTCCTAGTCCTGCCTTTCCTTCTTCTCTTTTACTCCTGTGGCTCCCTGCATCCTAGGAACCAAAGGACAGTGAAACGAAGCTGCTTAATAAACTAGAGTGGGATGCTGCCCTTAAACATCAGGGTAGAAATATGGGCATGTAGCAGCAGCAGCAGGTACAGGAAGCAGAGCTCGTCACTCCCCTGCCATGGTCCCTTAATCTTCCTCCCCATGTGCTGAAATCCCTTGGCTCTTCCCTGTTCCTCTCCATAACTCCTCTACTGATGCAACAAAGCTGCATGGCTGAAAAGCTTTTACCTGGCCCTGCTGCTGAGTACAGCAGTGTATCTTGACTAACCACGTTATAGCTCACAAAGCATCATACGTTTTCACTCATCATTGCAGATAGCCTCAATAAAGTCCCTTGGTGCTTGGACTCTTCCGGCAGAGCAGTTATGCAGTCCCCTTAAAACAACTGTGTTGGTCATGAGAGGGTCTGGAGACTTGTGTGAGCAGCTCTCTGTGTTTTATCAGCAATGTCTTTTCCCCCATCCCAGCAATATTTGGGAACAGGTCACCAGGGGTTGGTAGCCAATGACAGTCAAGCAACAGCAATTGCCATTCTGTTGCTGTTTGTGATGTGAGATGATGAACTTCATTCCAGCTCCTAGAGGGCAGCCATCCACATCATACAGATGGCTGTTGCAATTGGCATTACGTGAAGTGCCCATGGATTGCTCTTTGCTTTTAGACACCTCAAATGCAAAAAATAAAGCTATCCCTATTTGTGGCCACAGTCCATGCTTTCAGTGTCTGTTGACTCCCCATGAAAAACAGATGGCACTTCAGGCTGGTCCCTGAGTCACTTCAAACCTGATTTGCCACACAGATAGGCAGAGGTGACCTGAGTTCCAGCCCCAGAGCATCTTGACTGCATATCTCAGTGGAGGCTGCCTATCCAGGGCCAGCATGGAAAGTCCCTCCATTGGCTGATTTAGATGCCCAGATCGTGATGTCTTCAGCATGTTTTCATCAAAGCCAGGAAGAGTAAGAGCTATGTCTACTTGTGCTGCTATTTTCCTTCCAGCATGCACACAGAGCCACCCCACACCCATAGCATGGAAACACAGGCATCTCTATAAACCTTTCATCCAAGCATTTCTGTCACGGCTTTGGTGCTGTGGTATAGCCTGTGCTCATCAAAGGGTGCTGCTCTAGGCCCTGTTGCCTTTGAACAGGGCGTTTTTGCATTGGAGCAGGGTGATGTGGTACCTGTAGGGCTCATGCAGCCCCATCCGTTCCTGAAACGCGTAGTGACAAAAACTGGTCGGTCACCCCTGCACCTTCCAGAAGTACTGGTAAATGGCCTTAAAAGATGGCAGTTTGGAGTTGTGCTGTCCATGCTCCGATTGCTTACCTGCATGCTCCCTCAAGTTTTCAGAAGTTAGGAAGCAGAGCTGTTGTTTCCTTATCTGCTTCCAGCAGGGGGAGATGGGTCCAGAGAGTTACTACTTCTGGGAGCACGTACAAAAATAACATTATTTATTTTACTCAGGAGGCTTTCTCCTGGGATTTGTGTGATTCCTGCTTGTTTGGCCTTTTACACCCAGGCAACCCCTTTCTTTTGCTTCTGTACGCTTCTAAAAGCAAATAAGACCTATCAGCTTTAGAGCGTGGTTTTGTTTTACTTTTCCCAAGGCTTACAAGACCCTCAAGGGAATTTCTTCCTCTTCTCTCCCTTTATTATGATTATTATTATTATTATTAAGTACTTATGCTACGGTGGTACTAATAAGGATTGTGTGAATAACTAAGATGATGAAGTCTTCCCCTGTACTTCCATATCAGCAGAGAGGGGCCTCCAAGTGGGTTCTAATGCGCCTCACTTTGTAGAGAGGCACAGACACGTGCAGTCCCACCTAAAGTGAGGTTGCTACCAGAGTCTGGGAACAGGATTCCTTCCTTCTCCATCCCTGAAACCCCCTCTGTTATTCTCTGTATAAAACATATTGGTGCCACTTTCAATGAACTATATTTAACTAAGCATTAAATTTAGATTTAACTGGATAGTTATTGCCTCCTAAGTAAATACTCTGAGATAAGGAAATATTTAGTGAGCTCTAGCAGTCGGGTGGCAGATGCTTCTTACATTGCATAATAGTTAATCTTTGACAAATATGTTTCCCTTACTCAACTGGCATTTAATTAACATACCATAGCTCTTACTTAAATGTAGAGGAAACATATGTGAGAGACCCTTGTAGAAAGGATCCATGCAACACTCTCACATACAAAAGGGGTGTGTTTCTGTCATTGGTAACTTCATATGGGACCAAGTCTTTCAGCTATACTGGAACTCCATCACAAGAGTACAGAGGTTTCCTCTTGGTCATGCCTATCATCTGGGATGCCAGCAGCCTGATGGCATCCCTCTGTCCCTTGTGCTGTCTGTCACCCTAGAGCAGTGACTACTCCTCTATCAGCAGCATGGTTTTCTTCAGAGCAATACCCATCAGGCGAAAGCTCTCTCTGCAGTGGTTTAGGAACATCCAACGTGTGGATTAACCCTTTTCTTGTTGCTCCCCCTCTCTGGTGCCATCCTTACCAAGTCTCCTGCTGGGGAAGCGTCGGAATCAGCTGCCTCCTTGGCTTGTATGCAAAGCTATCATCTCTTTTGCGGCTGCCTATGTGGCACTGGAGCAGCTGTGTCATGACCTTAGCCCTTATTTTGTGGGACTTTAACACATGTGGGGATTGTTTAAGTACTCTTAGCACAGCCTTTCCATACCAAGGCTGCAGGGGCCGGTTTCTAGGGGCTCAGAAAGCAACTGGATGCATTCCTCAGAAGAAGAAAATCAATCGAGGGCCATTAACTACAAAGACCCAGCCACTGGCTGGGGACATGCCTTAGCCACAGATCACTGGAAATTAGAGCGGTGCCCTGGGGCAGTAGCACTGCACGCCTGCCTTGTGCTGGTGCCCTCCTGTAGGCATGGGCTTGAGGCTGTGGTCTAAGACAGGACACGGGGTTAGATCTTTGATCTGATCCCATGTGGCCATTTGTATGACAGAGACTTTCTAGTTTGGGTCCACTGTATCCCCAGAAGGCTTCAGGAGCAGAGGTGAAGTAGGCTCTGTTCCAGACCTGTTTTGTCCCTTTCCGCACACACATACAGAGCAGCCCTGTGACCATGCAAGACAGCCACTATCAGTGGAGTTCCCCTTGTTTTTTCTTCCACCTGCTTCTCAATCCCCCCCCCTCCTTCCCTCTGTGCTTCCACGCCGTGCTGTCGCCATCGAACGGTTACGTTAAGCGAAACATCCCTTGGAGCAGCAGCTCTCCCCATCCCTCCTGCAGGCAGAGGAGAGCGGGCTGGGGGGGGGGGGGGGGTGAATGGTAGGCTGGCACAGGACTTATTCCTGCCCGTTACCCCACGTCCCTCCCCGAGCGCTGGCGATGGTACGCGAGCCGTGGGAGCACGGGCGGGCAGGCAGCGCTGCCGCCGGGCGCGGGGCTCAGCTGCGGGCAGCCGGGGCGGACAGCGCGGGCATTCACACCGCAGCGCCCGCCTCAATACCGGCTTTGTCCCCGGGCCGGCCCTACGGGGATGGGAAACGAGGCGGGAAGGGCTGAGCGGAGGGAGAGATGTGCTGATGTGGTTGAGAGCAAAGTCTGAGGGGGGGGGGGGGGGGGGGGGTGAAGCGAGGGATGAGGCTGCCGAGGCAGTTGCCAAGGATGCTGCTCTGTAAATCAGCGAGCTTGTGGCTTCAGGCCGCAAACCCAAGTTGTTTGTAGTTTTGGCCACAGCTTCTTTGCTCTCTCCCTCCCCCCATTCCCTCCTTCCTCAGTATTTCCTTTTGTGGATATTGGCCGTATCTTCTGCATCCTCTCTGCCCTGCTGCCTGTGCTGCCTGCTCCAGGCTGCTCCTGCCTTCTCCTCTTCCCGCTCTGCTCCCAGTTCCCCGCTTGCGCTCCCCTTCCCCTTCTTTCTCCAGCGCCGCTCTCCCCCACCCCCTTCCCTCTCTGCCTCTCCCTCCTCCCCTTTCCAGCCCCCTCTCCCTCGGCGCTTCCCCCCTCTGCCCTCCAGCCCTCATCTCTCCACAAGCCCCTCTCCCTGCTGCAGTGCCCCCCTCCGTCCCTTGGCTGCTTGGCTGCAGCCCCGCTCAACGGTGGGGGGGTACCGGGGTCCCCGGGGCGGGCGGTACCCCCGGCAGGAGGACGGGGAGCGCCGCTGTCGGGTCTCCTCCTGCTGCCGCTGCCGCGGTGGTGCCGAGCTGCCGTCTCCCGAGTGAGGCTCCCTCGTTCCCCTCCCTCCCTTCCTCCTCCCTTGCTCCCTCCCTCCCTGCCTCGCTCCGCCTGGGAAAGTGGGTTAGGAAGGGAGCTCGGGGCTGGGAGGCTGCACAGCCGCGCACTGGAGCAGGACCATCCACTTGCGCAGCCCGGCGGCACAGGACTCGTACTGCTCCTTTTCCTGTGGTGTTTTTTTCCCCCCCCTCTCCATCACTCCAAACGGGTCGATTTAATTGTTGTTATTTTTAAATTATTTTGCTACCTGAGTTTTTCCTCTTGGCTTTTTCATTTTTGCCTCCCTTGTTTCAACTGAAGGCTGTGCTAAGACTTTTTCTGGGGGAAGAAGCTTTAAAAAAGAAGGCAAGGAGGGGGGAAGAAGCCTGCAAGAGACTGAAAAGCACAAGAGAAAGTGGCAGCTAAAGGAGGACTGTGAAATCACCTCCCCTTTCAGGGGCTGTCGATCAGAGCGAGAGTTGTACACTATTATTACTGTTTTTCTTTCTACATCTCTCCATCCACACGCACCAGGCAGAGAGAGACAAGTACAGGCAGCGAAACTCGACGAGACCAGCCATGGTAGCGAGGGCTCAGCCTGATCGGAAACAATTACCGCTGGTCCTACTGAGATTGCTTTGCCTTCTCCCTACAGGGCTGCCAGTCCGCAGCGTGGATTTTACCCGAGGTACCGATAACATCACCGTGAGGCAGGGGGACACAGCCATCCTCAGGTAGGGCATTTTGCCAACTTTTCCTTTCCTATGTGTGCACTGTATTGCCATGTATGCAACATAACACATGTGATGCGGTGCTGATTTGTGCCTGTGTGTCTCTGAGAGCGTGTGTGTTGTTTTATCTCTCCAACTGCAGCAGCAGCTGCTGCTACAAACAAGCTCTGCGTGTGTGTTTATGCTTTAATATATATATTAAGGATTTATATATACATATATAAAGGAATTGAAAAGCTTTTGGGCACTTCTTGCCACCACTCTCCTCTGTGTAGTGCTCTGGATCAAAAGGGTTTCAGTGGGGAAAGATCTGCTGGTGTTAGCCAGCTCTCGTGAGCATACATTTTCCACCAGCCCTGCAGTATCAATAGAGAAATCGAAAAGGGATCCAGCTGTGTTTCCAGATGTTCCATTGATCTTCCCCTGCTTCTTCCTGTACCCATGCAAAAACTTTATCCCTGGTGCTGCCAGAACTCACAGGCAAGTTCTTTTGGGAAACTCTGGCTTTTAATTGCACTTACTCATTTTTCTGCCCTTAAGGAGGGGGGATGGATAAAATAATTGAAAAAAGGTGGTGAAAAAATGGTGTAACAGCTTCTGTGTTTATGAGGCTTGTATCTGGTTCCCTGTGTCGCTTTCTTTGCAGGGCTAAGTAAACAGGCGTACGTTGTGCTTACATGTCTGAGCTGTTGTGATGAGGGGGTCTTTACACATGAAGCCTTGTTCAGCGGCAGTATTGAGTGTTATATCTCTCTATCGTTGCGCAGGCTTTGTAAAGGTAGTTCCGAGGCTACTTCGGCTTTCAGTCAGGAGCGTCCCAACTAGCTGAAATGCACTCGTCTTTTTCCTGTAGGCTCCTTTTTCTACCTGCAGTAACTTCCCTACAGAAGGAAAACCCAGCGCATATGAGCATGTGCACACGCTGTGTATGATGGCTATAAAACTACTGGACGTGATTTAAAATAAGTCTGTAATCTGTATGAGGAGCTGATAGTGCACATACCCTGAAGCATCAAGGGAGCAATCTGCTAGTAAAGCTAACAGCAGCAGCAAAGTTTTCTTTTCCTTTCTCTGAAATAAATCCTGCTAGATGTCACCAAATGCTTTGCTACATGATCCCCTGTGTCCTGCATCCCTCCCATTTAATGATAGAGGGGTATGTGAGCTAGTAAGGTGGGATCAGGGCAGAAGGATGCTAGAAGAGGGATCTGTGTGTGTGTTTGTGTATATATGCATATTGCTTCTCTCAGCTCCGTGTGCTGGGTTGTTTTGATCCTGGAATATCCATTCAGCAGCTACCATTCCCCAGCCCTCCAGACTTGTTAACTCTCATATAAGATTTATCCACACAGAGTAATAGGATTTACAGAGTAATTCATCTGCCTTGCATATGCAACGGAAGGGGTTTAGATGTGACATGGTAAACACCTAACAAGGGGTGTTGCCTCCAACTCCTGGATTCTCTCCTCTCCCTTCCACTCACTAGCAATCCATATATCCCATTAACCCTTTTCTAGTGGGACTCCCAGCTGACTTATCCCATTTTTAAAGGCAAATCACTTCCATCAATCATTAATTTTGGAGGGGCTGCTCAGGCAGATGTTTGCAGGTGCATGTTTGGTATACACAGCAGCAGACAAGTCATTAAGCTCGCTTGCCCAGACAGGGGTCACTGGATTTCTATTTCCCACTTAACCTTGGAGCTTTGGAGTTTATCTAGACACTGTGTGCTAAAGCTGCATTTGCAGCAGAGAGGGCTGAGTGGATGGTGGAGGTGGTGCCTGCATGTGCTGTGTGTAAAGCATTTGTCAGCAAGCAAAACGGGGATGCATGGGAGAAGTGGTTTCCATGATAGTGTGCAGCTTACCAGTGTTATGTCAGGCACTGAAATAGAGCACCTGGGTGAGGTGATCCAGCTGTGCCAGCCAGATGTGTGCCAAGTGATGCAGTTAGGAGCAGCACACTACCCGGCCATGGAACTGCTTGCCCTGAGCAATGTAACATGTTCCTGGCAGGCTGTGCTTCAGAACGAAGTAACTCTGGTGAGTGCACAGGTTTTGCCTTCCCACACTCTAGGCAGCTCTGGCTGGCTATATGCTTTTCACCTTTCCTAGCAAGGGCAGTTGTCTCATCTCCCTTTCCCTGGGCCCAGCCCCAGGTTTCTGGGATGTTTCACTCCCTCTTTCAGAGGAGGAGCAAAAGCCAGGCTGTGCTAAGTGACAGAACTGCAACATGAGGCTGGAGGGAGAGAGATTTCCCTCTGTCCTGTACACCTCTTGCAGGATGGTGTTTCACTTCCCCAGCTTCTTAAAGCAAGGGCTGGTTTGCTTCCCTGACCCTCCAAAAGATAACTTACTTTAAGACAGCCTTGTGTTTGAAAAACTCCCAGCATCTCACTCTTCCTGCCTATAGATCCACTACTGACAATGCAAAGGAAAGAGCTGGATGGGGAAAACCATTAGATGATCTATACTAACTGTGTTTAGAGCAGATCTTTACCTCCACAGAGAGATAGGTAAGAGATTTCTATATGGAGATCGTATCACCTATCTTTGCATGCATCTACTTCATAGGGAAGAGGAAGCATGCAGCAGCATTTTACCAGTGCCAGGTAGCTCCATTCTGTAGCTTGAAGGGAAATGGAAATGTAGGAGGGAGAGGAAAAAAAAAAGATATGTAGTTGGAGAGAAATCAAAACCTGTACATAGTGATTAAGATAACAAAAACCATTTTGTTCATGTGAATTGTGGCGCAAATCATTCAGCAAAGCACCAAGGACAGGGTATTCTGAATGATTCTTCTCCTTTCAGGCCTTATACGTTTGTATATAGCATTACACTTGTAGGTGGGAGAATGGGTGGGTGGACTGATCTATGAAATGGAGAAAAATAGTTGATTATAAGCCCTAATGTTTGTAAAGGAAGCCACTCCTCTGGGGCTTCATCTGCAGCTTGTTACTCAGAACAGAATTATTCTCAGGAGTTTGGATATGACTTTTTGGAGCTATGGCACTTCAACTAGTGTCTTCCTATGGACTTTTAAAAACTGCTCCTAACTTCATACTGGCTCATCTCCTAAATGACCTGGCAGCAGATCTGATTAATTTGTTGGCCTTGCTGAAGGCTGATGACTTTTAGTGAGTATTTGGCATGGGGAAGTCAGGGAATTGCAGGGAGAACAAAAATAGCTCATGATAGACTATCCACAGGGAAAAGGTTAATGATCCTTAGAGTAAGGCAAGAAAAGAGAGGAGGGGTCTGAGACCTGCAACAAGCGAGAAGGGCTGAGCCAAGAGAAGAGAGCAGGGAGCTTCACCATATATCAGAGAGCCTGTCAGATGTACTAAGGTTTCATTGTTTAACTCTGTCTTCAGCAAGTGAAGAAAGCCACTGACCCTTATTTTGTGCATTGAGAGTAGACTCTTTGCTATAATTCCTGCCCATGTTTTGCTTGCAAGATTATGGTGGTGAGGTTGCCAGGTTTTGTATGCAACTTCCCCGCTTGATGTTAGGAAAGAAATAGTCTCCGAACAATAAACACACAAAACTAATTAAAATGGGAAAAGTAAAACAAGCCCCAACCCCAAATCCTCTTTCTGTCTACCTGCCTCCAACATCCCTTCTTACCTCCGTTGCTCTGAGAGCGTTGGGTGAGCAAAGGCAGGGACCCTTTGCTTTGTTACGTGCTTTCAGCATAGGGATGGGATGAGAAACAGCCGGACCTTGGCTAAGCCAGGACATGTGCAGTAGTGAAGGGCAGCTACTGCAAACTGTGGAGGGAGGGAACTGTGCATCTGTGTTGTGTTTGGCCCTTAAAATGGCTTAAGGGCAAAGTGGTGATGAAGTCAGTGCTATGGGATCCAGGTACCTGAACAGCCTGTCAGGTTCCTCTCGGGAGCCACTACAGCATCACTCTAAAATGCCTTCAAAGGACCATTCTGAGGGCATCACTGTGACTTGCAGGTTGCCCAGGGCTTTTAGTAGTCCTGGCACAAGGGGTGATTTGGCCTTTAATGACTTCTGAAACAGAGCTCATGACTAGCTGGAACCAAAATGGGTCACATCCCTATTCCCATCTGCTCCATTGTACCAGTACAAATCCACCAAAGCCCAAGGGCACTGCCAGAAATACCACATTTGTCTTTGGGGCAGATTCCTGGGGACCGCTAATAAAGAGGTAAAAATGACTCACACAGGGCTTAAGCTGCTGAGTGCTGCTCAGATGTTGCTCAGCCTGGTAGAGAACTGGGATCTCGCCAAGGCCAGAATTTGGCTTCTTGTTCCTGAGTTTTTCCGAGCATCAACTTTTCATCAAGAATTAAATCAATCTGATGCTTGCTCACTGATGAAACACAACATTTAACAGAATGGGCAGTTTCCATTTTTACCAGGTATTTTTAAATAGTACGAAGGTTCTGGCTGATAGCACATTTAGGAACTTCCATCCTATGGGTACTTAGTTTATTCAAGTTACATGTGTCAAAGGATAGGCTAAATCAAATTATCAGCAGTAATGATAGTGCTGCTGGTGTAATCCTGCAATATAAGCAATTTATGCAAACTCTGCTGTTGGTTTCTCAGTATTTTCCTGACATCCTACACATGAAGCTATACTAGAGGACAGAGGCACCTCAGGCAAAGTAGCAAGCCAGCATCACAACCAAGTTTAAGCCCAATATAGTTATTTCAAGAGAAAAAGCTATTCAGATTACAATTATAATTAGCATATAACAGCGAGCACTGAGCTGAACCCTTTGCTAGAAATGAGAATAAGCATGTTCAAAGGTATAATGCTACATAATAATACAGTCTTGGCAGTAAAATTGTAGCCTTGATTATTAGTAGCATTGTTGTGGCACTTAAAGGCCACCACTACATTGAGGCACCCTTTGTATTAAGTGCCATGGGAGCAGAGAGTGAGAGAGATCCCTTGTTCCACAGGGCGTGAAGGCTATTAGAGGTTGGGGACGGGCAGGAGGTGAGGGGACTCGCCCAGGGCTGTGC